GTGATGCTCATCATGATCAGAGTGGTGCTCAGAAGCTTCAGAGTGTGTCTGAGAGCCAGGCAGAGAGTTTCCCAGATCCTCGAGATCCTCCTCTGTCAGAGGCCACCAACCGCGACCGCCCTCCAACAAGAGGAGGTCCCCAACAGAGAGATCTCTGCGTCGGATCACCCATCCCTGAAGAGTCCACCTCTCAGAGCTGAAACAAGAGACCTCCGGAGAGAACCTCATGCCGTCCGGGAGGCACCAAGAGCAATCTTGGAGAGGCAGGCCCAAGAGTTCTCCGATCAGAGAGGCGATGTCTGCATCGTCCTCCAAGAAGAGTCTGCTGATGCAGAGGAGCGAAACATACCTGAGTCCGTCGTGATGCAATCAGGAGATTTAATTATCAGGGACATCAGAGCCAATGTGAAATGCGAACTGAGGCACTGGTTCACAGAGACACTGCGAGAGACGGTCTCCATGTTTCCAAGCAAGAGGCCGAGATGCTCAGAGCAAAAGAGCTCCCGGGCTGAATGTTCTCCACAAAACAGAGTTTAAAAGAGAGAGAGAGAGAGAGAGAGAGAGAGAGAGAGAGAGAGAGCGAGAGCGAGAGAGAGAGACAGAGAGAGAGAGAATGTGTGTTTGTGCGAAAACAACTAGAAACTAAACCCTAATCAAACCGTAAACCCCAAAGCAGAAAAGAGACACCTCTTTTGCAGAGCCAAGCAGAGAGTCGCTCGGACGACAGTTCCAGAGAGAAGCTCTAGCAGAGTGGAGAGGTTTTAAGGTTCTAGAGTCTAGGGTTTAGGCTCGAAGGTAAAGGTAAGGCCTGTAAGGGTTTAGGGTTTAGGGGGGTTTAGGGTTTGGGTTGATTACCTGAGAGTTCAGGTCTAAGGGTTTTAGAGTTTAGGGTTTAGGCTCGAAGTAAAGGTAAGGGTTTCGGGTTTAAGGATTAGTATTTAGGGCTTAGAGTTAAAAAACCAGCTCCATCTGCGAGCTCTCGATCATGTAGAGCCCGGCTCATCGAAGCCTGGGATGGGAGTATGTAAATATAAGTACAAATAAATAAATATATAAATAAATATATATATATATGTGTATATGGCTATCTTTATTATTATTATTATTACCATTATTATTGCTATTATTGTTCTAATTATATATACATAAATATTATCATATATATATATATGTAGTAGAAAATCGTCGAGCAGCATAGAGTGCTGCCGGACGAGAGCCAAGGCTGCCAAAAGAGCTCCTCGCATTTAGAGGGTTTAAGGTTTAGTTAGGGTGTAGAGCCACGGTTTAGGGTTTAGGGTTAATTAGGGTTTTGAGGTTTTAGGTTTAAGACGGGTACAAGCCTTAGCTACATAGGGCTTAATTAATTAGGAAAAACCCGAAACCTATTTAATTACGAACCCCAAACCCTGGAACCCCTTCACCCTAAACCCCGAAACCCTAAAACCAGAGCCAAGCGTCGCCAAAATCGAGGCACAGAGGCTCCACCCCAATGCCTCGCATAGAGTTTGGGATTTAGGGCTTGAGAGTTTTCGGGCATTAATTAAGGCTTTGGGTAAGCTTAGAGTCTGGGGGTTGAATTTAGAGAGATTTAAGGCAGTAAGGGTTTGGCTAAGTTTAGAGTTTGAGGTTTAGTGTTTGAGAGATTCGAGGCATTAATTAAGGGTTTGGGTAAGTTTAGAGTTTGGGCTTTAATTAGGGTTTGGGTGTTTAGGCTTTGATTAATTAATTAGGGTGGTGGGTTTGTTAATTAAATAAAGAGCCAAGTATCAGAGAGATCCACGGAGAGGCCTCTCTAAGCCTCGGATGTGAGGGTTTAGGAGTAATTAATTTTTTTAAAAAAAGAGAGCGAGCCACAAAAGAGAGACTTTCTGCCGAAGAGCTCACTCCTCCGCCACAGCGGCCAGAGCATCCGTCTCAGAGGCCGGCCCAGCCGTCGCAGCCGCCGTAGAGTTCACATTGTCAGAGGGAGGCGGCTGCTCAGAGCCCTCAGAGCCTCCGCGGGCAGGATAGCGATCCGGCGCAGCCATCTGCTTCAGAGCTTTCGCCAAAGTGTCAGAGCGAAGCAGCTCGGCCTGAAGGCTATTTAATGAGAGTCTAATTAATTAAGGTTTAATTCGGGATTTAGGGTTTAGGGTTTAGGGTTTAAGGGGGAGGTTTGCAGGCCAGATACAGAGTGCACCAGAGACGGCCAGGAGAAGCCAGAGAACCGGGCGTGCCTGCCAGAGGCACCCCGATGAGAGTGCGAATGAAATTAATTAACTAGCACAACCCTAAACCCCAAACCCCACAAACACTTCAACCTTGAACCCCAAAGACTAAACCCAACCTAATTAATTAATCACTGCAAACTAGAGGCTCAGAGTGGTACACCAAGTGGGCCAGAGTTTCCTGCTCTCGACAGAAGAGCCAGCGGGCGTGTGCAGAGTTGGCAAAAACCTCCTCCACATCCGCCCGCCGCACCAGCTTGGACCTCAGAGGCTGCACTGCACTAGTTAATTAATTAGTTAAAGAAAATGGACCAGAAGGAAAGACACCAAACATTGCCAAAGCACTCATCCCAGAGCCACCGGATGTTGAGAGAAACTTCGCAGATCATGTCCGGGTCCAGAGCATCATCCTGCACGCAATTAGAGAGCAATTGGGGTTTGGGGCTCTGCTACTTACTTAGTTACTTAGGGTTTCCTTAGAGAGGTTAAGGCATTAATTCACCATTAGAGTCTGTCCGCATCGAAAGAGATCTGGCTGTAGATGAGCTGAACGGAGAGCTGCCAGGTCACAGAGATGCCTGGGACATGCTTTAGAGTTTGGGTTAATTAGATAGGATTAGGGTTGAGGGTTTAGAGTTTAGGGTTTAGGGTGTAATTAATTAGTGTTTTAGGTGAAATAGAGGTTCCTGGATTGAAGCTAGGACACAGAGGGCCACAAAGGTAGTCTCGTCAGAGCCAGGCACAGAGTGGACCAGAGCCAGGACTTGAGAGATCCACCTTCGGGGATTCGTTTCGGGTTTAATTAATTAGAGTGTGCTTCGCTTTCATTAGCACCAAGAGCCCACAGCCTCCAGAGGATGGCCCTCGTGGACACGAGGCTTCTGCGAGCCCAGCCGATGCTGTCTTTGCGCCGATCGTAGAGCTTCAGAGCATCGAAGAGCTTCCTTAATTAGAGGTTGGGAAAATCAAGAGTTTTGCCAGGGTTTAGGGTTTAATTAGGGTAATTAGAGCTGCCTAGAGACTCCTCCGCCGAGGCCAAAGTCACAGCTGCCATGCTTCCCAGAGGTCCTCGGAATAGTGAAAAGTCCAACCCAAGAGATTGAGTATTTTCGCTTTCAGAACTAGAGGCTTCCAAAGAGAACAGTATGCCAACGGAGTTGAGAGTCGAAGGTTGCGAAAAGAGCGGAGCAAGAGGGCTGCTGGAGCGAAGAGGGCTGCAAAAATCTGCTACTATACTACTACTGTACTACTGTACTACTGTACTACTGTACTACTGTACTACTACTGTACTACTGTACTAATGTACTACTGTACTACTGTACTACCCCCGGCCCCCAAACAACTTCGACCCCGGACCCCCCAAACAACTTCAGGTCAGAGATATGCGGACCCCCCGTTAATATTACAGGGACTGGACTTGTTTGGGGGGGGGGGGGGGGGTTTAATAATCAGGAGACCACATTACAGCTGTTTGACCAGCAGCTGACCGTTCGAACCCCATGATTTCTCGAGACTCCGGGTGAAAGCTGCAACCCACTATGGGCTATTAGACCTTAAGGGTACCTTAATCTACCCTTAATAGGGTCCTAATAGGGATCTTCAGGGTCTAATAGCCCATAGTGGATCCATGATTTCTTTTTCTGGTGCATTCGGGGCGTTTATCCAGCGCTCGACAACGTCCTATCCTTAAGGAGCACGGAACCGGGGGGGGGACCAGGGGGTTGGGTGTTCTAAAGGTTCCTTATTCATATATGATTTGCTCATGTATCTCCACGGTTAAGGTTTAGGGTTAGGGTTTAGGGTTTAGGGTATAGGGTTCAGGGTTTAGGGTAGCCTTATCTACTATTTGCTTAAGAACCCCCCCCCCCAAAAAAAAAAAAAATCATAATCCCTATATTACCCCCCATAAGGAATATATTTTTTATTTTTTGGGGGGGTTCTTAAGCAAATAGTAGTTATTCATATAGGATTTGCTCATGTATCTCCTTGAGGTGGGCCTTATGCGGGTTGATCCCCGATAGATTTGGGGGCTTGCAATTGCATGTTAGGATGGATAGTGGAGGGGGTAAGTCTGCTAAGTGGCCTTGCAGTATACCGACGAGAGGACGCGGAGTTCCCTTCCCGCCCCCTAAGGCTCCATGTGCCCATAGTAGGGTTCCTTTGAAGGGCTCCTTGAAGGGGTCCTTTAAAGGGTTCTATAGGGTTTAGGGTATAAGGGTCCATGGTATCCATACAGTATATACTTAGGCCTTACAGTACCTATATACGGACCCCTTTAAGGCTTAAGTGTTTACTTCAAAGGTACATGGAGCCTTTGGGCTTCTTGTCCCGCGGAATCCCTTCAGTGATGGGCCTGTGATGGGTATGCGTTTACTCCCCCAAAGACTAGACCTTCAGGTTACATGTCGACTTGCTTTGCCAGAGTGGCCTTTACAGGGCGTTGCACATACATATACATTTACATATACCAACACCAGTACATATACATATATATATATATATATATATTCTACATGATCTCTCTCCCTCTCCCTCTTTCTGTCACTCTCTCTCTCTCTCTCTCTTTATCTTTCCACTCTCTATCTGTATCCACATTTGTATATCCCCACTATAGAGCGCTTTCAGGCAGCTGCTATAGGTTCGGGCCCCTACAACCTCGAATCCTAATTTGGGGTTCTCTGGGCGCCGCACCCCCAAACCCTAAACCCTGAACCTTAAACCTTAAAGCCCTAAACCCTGAACCCTAAACACAGAACTTTACACTCTAAAACCCTAAAACTTGTGGCGCTGAAGGCGGCTATGTGTCCCACAGACTACCGGTTCCGCCCCGTGGGCGCTTTCGTCGACGAAGTCTTTGGAGTACTCATCTCGAACGAGGTGCTGCTCTTCGGGTAGGTTTAGGGTTTAGGGCTTAAGGTCTCACCCTAAGGCTCCATGTACCCATATAGTATATACTTAGGCCTTAAAGTACCTGTATAGGGACCCCTTTAAGGTATAAGTATCTACTATAAGGGTACATGGAGCCTTTGGGTCAGGGGACGTAGTAAGTCGGGTTATAAGTGGGTTACAAGTCCCCTAAGTGGGCTTATCCCACTTGCAACCTTACGCAGAACCGTACATGACGAGTCCCTTGGGCGTTTCGGCAGAGCACCCATTACTTCAGAATTTCTTACGGTTAGCTCTGATAGTTTCCAGTTTGTTGTTGTGTGGGTTTGTGCGCTGTTTTTTTATCTAGGACCCGGAGTAGGCCCTTATTCTCTTTTCCAGTGTTTCGGTTCCCTTATAACCTTGGAAGGGCCTATGGGGTTCTATGGGGCTGTGGTGTTACAGGTCTGTTCTACGTGTGCATTGGGACAAGGCTCCCTCTCTGGCCTAGTGCTGAGGTTGGGGGTTTAGGGCTCGGGGCTTGGAGTTCAGGGTTTCGTATGGCAGCTCTACCCCGCAGCACAAAATCCCGACATGATAGAACCCTGAGGCTGCATGTACCCATATAGTATATACCTAGGCCTTAACTTAAATGTCTACTATACAGGTACATGGAGCCTTTGGGGAAGGTTTGGAGCCCTTCTGAATGATACTGTTACAGGGGACGCATTCAACCTGATGTAACCTTCGAAAGCCAGAGCAAAATAGTGGCAGGCACAGGAAGTGTGCAGGTTGGGTTAGGATGACGGAGGGCTCAGGGTCACCGGCCTAATATAGGGGCCTTAATGATTAGAATAGGGTTTTGGTCCGTGTATAGTACACTTATGATTAAAAAAGGACCTGTATGTAAGATGCAAGATTGCATCCAACAAAATTGTGTTTGCCTTCTCCTAGTTTTCCTTTTCCAAATGCTCCATGTAACCAACTAGTATATACTTTGCCTCAAAGTAGTCCCTATATAATATAGGTACTTTGGAGGGGCGAATTATATGCTACTTGGGTACATGGACCCTTGGGGTTGTGTTCCTCTGCAAGATTGGAAATGCTGTCCTTCCAACGCCAAAGCCCCAACATGCTCCCTAATTCCTAAACCGCCGCAACCCAGGTCGCAAAGCAGGAGCAGCATGTGGCGGAGATAGACCGTCTTTTCGAGCCTCGACAGTAATTAGGGGTTTAGGGTTTTAATAGGGTTTAGGGTTTAGGAGTGCTAGGTTCCTTAGTGGTAGCCCTTGTGCCCTTTTTCCTTCTGGGTTCCTTTATTAAAGCCAAATAGTAGGAAAAGGTTCCCTTTATTCTTGCGGGTCTACTCTGGAGTCTAGATTATCTTTCAAGCTTCGGAAGGGTTCCGAGTGCATCCCATCTTTTTTTTGCCTTGTGTTTTTTCATGTTGTTTCAGGTTTCGTAAATCTGCGCATAGGTACGGCAGTTCAAGGCATCGACTTTTTTGCACGTGTTGTGGCGACTTGTAGGATGGGGATCACATGTATTCGTTGAGGCCGCAGACTCCGCAAGAACGATCCCCTTCTAGGCAGGAGGGGTCCCCACCAGCAATAGGGGTTTAAGGGTTCAGGGTTTTGGAGGGCTGCCGAACAGTCTTGAAAGCTACTCGCACTCCTTTGTATGTGGGGTGGGATGGGCAATGGGTTCCCCCGAGCCGCTTGGCGACACATTCTGGCTGATGACTGCGGTTGGCGACATGCTTTATCGAGGCGAGCATACTTCCGTGATGATGTTGCTGCCCGTCTCCGTGTTGGCCCCATGGATATCGCATGTGTTGCGCCTGACACAGCCATCCGTGACCACGCACACAGAGGTAGCCTTTCCCTGAATGTGCTGGCAGTCCGTGGTGGCAGCGAGACTGGCTATCATGCCGGTCGGCGGGACACCGTCTGCTTTATTCACTGCCGGCCGCTTCTGTGTGCCCTGTCCTGGCTGGCTTTTGACGGCACCCTCCTCGACATGCGGCGGCTGCACGATCGTTTCCGTGCGAGGTGCCCGCCTGGGTCCATCCTTTGCCGAGTCGATCCATTGCTTGCCTAGTCAGACCTAAACCCAAAAACCCAACTATCTTTGCCCTGACTTATACAAACCCCAATTCCAAACCCAAGTGTTGCGGGTTTCAAGTTTCGATTCAAGGTTTAGGATTTGGGGGTTAGCGTAGCAGCCTGGACTAGTAGTAATGATATCCCCCTTAAAGTTCCGTATAGAAATCCTTTTCCAGCTACTTAGGCCTTCGTATTTGGGGTAGGGGCTGCTTAGGCCGTTAGCGCGAGCCATGGACATTGATACTCAACTCTAAACCCTATACCTTTAAACCCCTAAAACCACTAAACCCCAAACTCCAAACCCCTAAACCTTTAAACCCTAAACTTAAACCCCTAAACCTCTCAACACTAAACCACCCCTAAACCCTAAGCCCAGGCACCCAGACGAAGCGGCGAGCATCAGCAAAAGCGGAAGAAGCTGTTCATCAAAAAACAGGCCTGGCTTTACTAGGTCTCTTCTAACGGGTTCCTGTAAGGGATCTATAAGGGTTCCTGTACCAGTATATGTGGGTTCCTTTAAGGGATCTATCAGGGCTCCTTTAAGGGATCTATCAGGGATCCTGTGAGGGATCTATACGGGCTCCTTTAAGGGTTCTATAAGCGGCTTCTTTTGAGTGATCTACGCGGGCTCCTTCAAGGGATGAATAGCAGGTTTAGGGCATAGGGCCATTTTTGGGTTTCTGGGATAGGGATCCTGAAAAGGCCTCCTTGCCGGCACGGATCTGTGGTGACCTAGTGCGCTAGAAGCCTAGCGTGTGAAGAATCAGCTGAAACATGTGATTTTCTGTCGAGTTTGAGAGAGTTGTAGACGGGTTCTTAAGGTTACAGATTTCGAAAGCTACTGTACCTAAGTTTCCGCGATATGTACTGTTTTATGTAACCGAGTGTACGGTTGGGATCCTGCAATACCCCAAGGGTCCATGTATCCAAATAGCAGATACACTGGCCCTGAAGCACCTCCTTTAAACTCAAGCATGTGCTATTTGGGTACATTGACCCTTGGGGTTATAACATGGCAAAAGGGGGACCCTGATGGAGACCATGAGGAGGTTTGAGTGTTTGGGGTGAGTTGCAGCTGTCATGACAGTCATGGTTGCTGGATTGCACGGGAAAAGCGTCTCCTTAATGTAAGATCCATATGCATTTTCCCTGCGACTCCAAGTATGCAAACAGTACCATACATTGGGGTCTGAAGTCCATACTTGGAGGGTCGGGGGACTTAGTAAGTAGGTAGTAAGTAGACTTATAAGTACCCTAAAAGGGACCCTAATTGGGGTTATGGTACTTATAAGTCCCTAAAATAACCAGTTACTAAGTCCCCCGACCCTCCAAGTAAGAATGGCCTACTTTGGGGCTGTGTTCAGTCTGAGGGTTTGGGATGTTGCCAGGATCACCGAAGTACGGTTGATGGTATAAATCCTAGGGTTCCTTTAAAGGGTCTATGAGGGTACCTTTAAGGGGTTCCTTTAAGGGATCTATAGGGGATTTAGGGTTTAGGATGATATAAATCCTGCATTACCCACAATAGGGAATATACCAAAATTCCCACAGTTAAGGGTCCTTAAGGTAATGCAGGATTTATATCATCAGCCGTATGTACTTTAGAGTATGGAGGCGCGTGGGCTCGTCGGATCCATACCGTGAGCCCAGGTTTGAAATGCGTAAGTTTACACTTCCGAGAAATGCCCGAAGGGTGTTCCTTGAGGTTCCTTTTATATGTCATACTGAACCCCAAATCATATTCTAACTTAACTACAAGTCTCCCATATTACAGCCGTAGAGTTATGGAGTATGCTTAAAAACCTAAACTGCGAAAAGCCTAGGGTCGAGAACTGCAGTGCTTCTCGTTTTGCTCCCGCTGCCCTGCTAGTAACTTAGTCTAGACCCTGATCATCATGACAAGCGTAGTAAGTAGTAACCCAATCTGAATACCTTGGTTACAGTACCTGTTCAACGACCGCGTGCGTCAAAAAAAGGCATCCCAAAAAGGCACAATGCAGGCCCTGGCGAGGGCTCTGGGTGTAGCCGTGCAGGTTACCGGCGCAGCCCTCAACCCCGAAACCAGTCAAGGAACTAAATCCTCAAAAGTCAACCCGAAATTCTAAACCCTTAACCCTACCCCCCTGAACCCCTCAACCCTATAGAGTCTAAACTATCCAAGAATGCTTTGCCACAGGTTCCGGAGCGTCTATGGCAGACCTGGAATGAAGTCTTCGACTTGCTTGACCCTGACAACACAGGCTCAGCTTAGGGTTCATCTGTTTAGGGTTTCGTGTTTGCCAGAAATCTGCAACAAATTTCGCTATGCGCCCTTGATTATAGGTGTTCGACTGAATTCTTAAAACAGTGGGCCCTGGAATCCGCTGGTGGAGGCTCGGGAACCCAAACCTGATGTACGGGGCCGGAAATTTGCCAAGGTCTCTCCCTAAAGTTGCCGTTTACTTATGCTTCTAGTACAATACATCCAGCAACCTTGAACCCAATCATATACCCAGTGACCCTGTTCTACTTCTTAGAGATGCCCATGTTGCAGCTTTGGCCGGCGACGTTTGAGATCTAGGGCCTTGGAACATCTACTAAAACCTCTACTATGGGGATCTGCTAGTCATCTCTCCCTTGTGGTCGTTTAGGGCCTCTGTTTCAAAGTTCGATGACTCTGTGTGCATGAGCGTGTTTGGGGTTTAGGGTAACTGGGCTTGGGGTTCTATCTTGAGTATATCAGTGTTTTTTGACTCCATGATTCTTCAAGGCAAACCGCAATCAAACCGATTGCTTGAAACCTTCCAAATCCCACCAAATCGTGAAAAATCTCATGCAAACTTGTATCAACCCCCTATGTATGCAGGGCTCAGAATCCTCCACAGAAGCCCTTATAATAGAAAGCCCTCATGAGGCATTATCACGGCCGTAGAAATACAGCCCATTTCAAGCGCTTCGAGACCTGTCAGTGGCTTTGAAAGCAGACTCGTTTTTTGTTTGGTGCTGCGGTGCTCAGCCCCTAAGAACCCTAAACCTGTAAGAACATGAGGGGTTTCGAACTGCTATGCACCCTAAATCTCTTGCATCGTACTTGGAGGTTCATAGGACCTTATTCATGCGGTCATAAGTACTTTAGTTGGAGTTATATTCGGTTCTACATATAGTTTCTTCACTTACAACTCTAGTTACTATACTAAGTCCCATGATCCTTTAAGTGAACACGGGCCTTAAACCCTAAACCCTAAACCGGGAGCCAGATTTGGCCAGGGACCGTCTGCAGAATGCGGCTGAAGCAATCCAGAATTTCGGCAATCTGGGGGTTTAAGGTTTAGGGTTCAGGGTTTAGGGTTCAGGAGGATCTAGTTTTCGGGTATGGATGACCTCTTAGTGTGATCCGAAATTGGGATTTGGATGTTTGCTTTAGGGTTTAGGGTTTGGGTTTGATGGCTGGGTTTTAGGCTGTTAGGGTTTCAGGTTCGATGGGCTTCATTCAGGGCTTCAGGATTTAGCTTTCGGCTTTCAGTAGTAGCTCTAAAGGTGATTCCACGAGCTTATTTAGGGCACCATTGGGCTTGTTTCAGACTATGCAAAATCCTCGGACGGCACCAAACAACGCCGCATAACCCTTAAGCCTAAAGAACACCGCTCATGCTTCATGATTCCCTATAGAACCTGTAAAGTGCCCTTATAGAGTTATGGAAACCTTGTAATCAAGACTGTTACAGATGCAGATATGGAGCGCTACTTAAGTTACGAAGGCTTCCTTGATAGTTATCAACTGCCTCACTGCCCGGGAGTTTCTGAATCCGAGCTTGCCGTCAATTCGAAGCTAGACCCGGCCTAGGCAGGGCTCCCCTTGTGTGGGTCCTTATGCACTTCTAAACGTGGCCACTTGTGTTGCTGTTTCCCTAAGGCTCCATGTACCCATATAGTATATTTGGCCTTAACGTACCTATATAGGGACCCCTTTAAGGCTTAAGCATCCACGATAATGGTACCATGGACCCTTATACCCTAAACCCTATAGAACCCTTTCAAAGAACCCTTAAAGGAATCCCTTTATAGGAACCCCTTAGAGGAATCCTTTAAAAGGTGCATGGAGCCTTCGTGTTTTTGTTTGCGGCAACTCGTTGAGAAAGCGAAGACTCGAAGTTCGTTTTTTCGGAGTTGACAGCTTTTCAAAGGCTCCTTAAAGGGTTGCTTGAAGGGCTCTATATAAGGGTTCCTTTAAAGGGATCTATGAGGGCCCCTTTAAAGGGACCTAGAAGGGTTCCTTGAAGGGATCTGTAATGGTTCTAACTATATAGCGTTTAGCGTGTAAGCGTCATGGTACCCAAATAGTATATAATACTTTGGCCTCAAAGGAGTCCCCATGCCACAGCATATGCTATTTGGATGCATGGGGCCTCAGGGTACAAGGGTCCAGGGTTTAGGGATTTACGGTTTAGGGCTTAGGGTGTTTATGACATATGAGCAAGCTTGTAATCACCTGTTTATAACCAGACTATATCCGATCAACCACTCTGAGTCCCTTATGCATCCGTACCAACACACTATACAGCCCTTATCAACCTAGACGGCAATACCAAAATGTAGTAGCGGGATGGGCACAATTTACATGTGTTGATATAGTTCTATCTCCCATAAAACTGACAGTGTGCCCTTTGGGGGCTTATGATGTAGTTGAGCAGACAAGAGAACCCCCCCTTTGGGGGCTTCTGAATTAGCTCAGCAGACAAAAGAACCCTGTGAATCCTTTAAGGCCCTTCTATCAGCCAAGGATTTCTTTGCCCCGATGTTTGCGATTATGTGTGCCTTGCTGGGAATGGTTCTTTTCCAGATACCAATCTGGGGGCATACTTACCCAAACCCCAACTGTACGTGCTGCTACAATAAACCCAACCCGAAGCCCTTATCGCCCCTACGTTCTACTCTTATGTAGGTACATGGGACGTAGGACCCTTTGGTTTTGAAAGGATTAAAGGTTTGTGTGCTTGGTTGGGGGTTAGGGCTAGAGACCATCACACAGACTAGCACTTCGTTGACAAATCAACAAATAAGCATATCTGAAACTATATCTGTAGACGTATGTAGGTTTGTATATGCATACCAGGAGGTCGCATATATAATATACGGTTGTTTTTTGCAATAGGTTCCCCCCATAGAACAACGGTTCGACGTCTTGCAGAGGTCTGGTTCCATGATGGTAGTATGATTGAACCCTGTGGGATAGAAGCCTTCAGAGACAATAGAATGGCTTATTTTATAGTCATAGAATATCTTGGGTATAGGTGTACTAGGACATGACCCAAAATCCTAGTCTCATTATGTTTGCTTAAAAAAAGTCAGACCCAAATAAGGTTCTATTTTATGGGCTTGATATGGTTGCAGGGTTGTTTGAGGCCCTGAAGCGGCAATCCTTTATCCCCCACCCCCAATCCCCAAGCCCGAGACCCGAACCCCAAAACCCCGCCCCCTGCCCCCTACCCCCTGTCCCGACAAGCCTTAAACCCCAAGCCTTAATCCCTATCCCCACAACCCCGACACCTGAACCGAACCCTGAACTCGAAACTCTAAAGTCTGCACCCTGAACCCCCCTGAACCCAAAATCCTGCAACCCGAGGGGGTTGTATAGGTCTTTTGCCGAGGTCCCAACCCATCTTGGTTTAGAGTTTGAGGATGCTGCCCTCAGGGTCCAAGTACCTGATAACCATTTACTCTCTTAAATATTGAGCTACATAACTACTATCCTAAACCCAAGTACCTAATTATTGGGTCCTTTGGACCCTTAGGGCTGGGATCAGGGTTGATCACCCTGACAATAGCCGTTAAGTTTTGTAAGGTCTGACCCTGGAACCCTAAACCTTTACTAGGACCCAGAGTAGGCCCTTATTATTTTTTTGAGAGTTTAAGTTCCCTTATATACCCCTTTAAACCAAAAAGTCACCCTTTGTATTCCTAGGCTACTCTTAGGTCTAGAGTATGGAAACCCTGTCATTAGGACTTTTACAGATGTCTAACCCCTAAACCCGAAACCCCTAACTCTAAGCATATATTTTTTTTGGAGGGGGGAGGCCTTCAATCAAAGGGGAAAAGGAGGGACCCTTAATGGGGACCCCTACCCTATAATGAGCTATATAATGGGTATATAATAGCTATATTAAGGGTATATACCTAGGGGTCCTTATTAAGGGTCCCTCCTTTTACCCTTGGATTCAAGCAATGAGCCTAGGTTCGACTTGATCGCGGACCATGGCAGACGGGAGGATGGCAAGGACACTTAGATAGCCATTGGGAGACCAACATGGGTGGTTGTCAAAACTAGGGTTCCTTTAAATGGATCTATAAGGGCTCCTTCAAGGCATCCTATTAGTCTCTGGGTTCTATCAACTTAGGGCTTCAGGGCTTTATACATGGGTGGTTGTCAAAACTAGGGTCCCGTTTTGGGTCCTTATTATAGTACGGCACCTAATATTTAAGGTACCCCAAAAGGGGCCATGATTTTGACAACCACTCAAATGCTCCGTGGGTTCCTTTTAAGGGGTTCCATTAAGAGATCAAGTTGGGTTTAGGGTATAAGGGTCCATGGTACCTTGATGTATATCTACTATAAAGGTACATGGAGCCTTAATCCTTCTAAGCCTTACATATGTGCTCTGTCTAAGAGGGTTTGCACGCGATTGCAGAAGACAGGTACTATACTGCATCACATCATAGTACTACTTTATACCATATTATACCGTGTTTATTGTACTAGAAATATCCGCACAACCCTATATGCGAACCAGGAGGAGGCTTTCAATCGCGACCAGTTTCTGGCCAAGCTGCCCCTGAGCTCAAGAAAAGGGTGCTTTTCCCGAAAGATGCATGCATCCTAAATCATAGGGACCCTTAGGGGTGTAGGGGGAGGGGGGGTAGGGGGCCTTAATGCCCATAATAAGGACTAATAAGGCCTATTTAAGGAAATATGGTCCCCTACACCCCTACGACTAAACCCTAGATCACAAAAGCCCAGAATCCTAAACCCGTAAACCCTGAATCCCTAAACCCTAAATCCTAAACCAAGATCTGCAGCTCCCCGCTTCAAAGGCTGCGTATAACCTGGACAAATAGCCCAGGTTTTGCAGGATTTCTATAGGGGTTCCTTAAAAGGGATCTATGGGGTTTAGGGTTTAGGGTCTACTTGGAGGATCAGGGGACTTCGATAAGGAGCTCATAATAGGGAACTCTAAAACGGAAGGTTTTATAGGGACCAGGGATGGCCTGCTTGTTACCCCAACTAAAGTGCGTATAACCTTATACTTGCTAAGTCTCATGATCCTCCAAGTACCCAACTAGTAAGGTTTTAAGGTCCAAGAACCATTCAGAGTATGGATTTGGGGGGCCTAAAACCCTACTATTTGGGTACTTGGACCCTCTGGGTAGGGTTGTAGCGGTTCGCAAGGGATGGATGATTTGGGGCGTAGGGCCTTGGACTTCGCGAATCGTGGGGCTTCGAGAGCTGAAGCAAAAGGCAACCTAGATGTGCGTTTAGGAGCTCAGCTTCCAGCGCAGGGCACCGGAAAATCCGGCGATGTTTTCGTACTACAAGATAGTGGGGACTACGTCGTTCCTGCCATTCGGGACAGCATGGGTTTTCGCAAGATGCCAGTCCTGGTAATACCCAATCGTGGGACCCGAAACCCATTCCCAAAATCTTGAATCCTAACCCCAAATCCTAGAAATCGTCAAAGGAACCCTTATACGAACCTGTACAGGAACCATCATAGAACCCTGTCAACCCTAAGGCTCCATGTGCCCAAGTAGTATATACTCAGGCCTTAGAGTACCTATATAGGGACCCCTTTCAGGTTTAAGTATCGACTATAAAGGTACCATGGACCCTTACACCCTAAACCATCCTAAACCCTATAGAACCCTTAAAGGAAGCCCTTAAAGGAAGCCCTTTATAGGGACCCTTAAAGGAACGTGGAGCCTTTGGGTAAGGAACTCCAGACCCTAATCCTATTCGAGGCTGGACGCATCTGACTTTCGACGAAGTCCAGGGTAAAAGGTGCGCACCAACACCTCGTGCCTTGGTGGCGCTTGGCGCTCAGGGCTCCTTTAAGGGATCCATTAACGATTCAAGGGATCTAACCCTAAAATCCTTAAACCACTAAACAATGGGCTTTGGGTTCAGGGTTTGAGGTTTAGGGTTTAAGTCAGACCCATACCCTATAATGTAGGAACCTGATTAAGAAACCCGGGGGCCTATAACCCCAAAACAGTAGTATTCGTATAAAGAGCCCTAACAAAGGCCCAAGGTTTCTTAATCAGGTTTTTACATTAATCGTCAGTAGAACCTAGCAAGGCGAAGCCCGATTGGGTTTTTGCGACAACCTTCCGTCGTGCCTTCCACGTCAACTCCGTCAGCCCTGAAACATCCCAAAATATCAAACTAGACAATCCGAAAACCTTTACCTGTGCAACAGCATGCTCAAGCCCATATAGGACCTTCATGTAGGATCTGCACAAACCTTCATCCCAAAACCCCTAAACTAAATCCTAAACCTAAGCCCAAAGCCTTGAACCCTAGGTTTAGGGGTTTAAGGTTTAGGGTTTAGGGAACTCCCTCCAAAGCCCTGAACCCGCCTCTCTCCACACGCTCCTCGGAGGGGGGGGGTACATCCTGCAAAGCTACAGATGATCCGAGGTTGAGGGATCAAAGGGGAAAAGGAGGGACCTTGATGGGGACCCCTACCCTATAATGGGCTATAAAATGAGTGTATAATATCTATGTTAGGGGTGTATACCTAGGGGTCCTTATTTAGGGTCCGTCCTTTTACCCTTGGAAGGGATGTAGGTCTGGGCGCCTTCATATAGTTAATGCTGTTGTGGGGCGGGTTTCTGATTACACAGTTTAGGGTTTAAGAATAATGAGGGGCCCCAAACAATGGAGAGAGCTGCAGGTGCAGGCCATTCGAGCTCCGCCAGCCCGTTCCATGTCGCCCCTGAGGATGATTTAAATCAAAAGACAGAGTTTCGGGTTTAGGGTTGTTATCCTCATGCCCATAAGGCAAACCACAGGCTAATCATCCTAAGCCCATGTTCCAGCTTGCTGGGGTTCACTAGAGGGTTGCCTGCAGCCTCAAACCCACCCAAAGCACAGGTGAGGGTGTAGGAACTTTAGGATGTGGGATTCCGGGTCTAAGGTGATTCATAAGCTTTGGGATGGTTTGGGTCAGGATGTAGGGTTTGGGATTGGGGGTCTGAAAGCTTTCGGGAATTTGCATGGGAATCATAGGGTTGTGGGAATTGTCACTTAGTGTCTAGATGTGGTGAGGCTTTCGCACCTGCGTAGGCAAACTTCGCTGTGGCCTGCAGGGCGCACAGCTGAGGATCCATGGTTTACGGTTTAGGGTTTAGTTGGGTTTAGGGTTAGCTCTCAACCTTCAACCCGAAAACCCCTAAAGCCGAAGGTGGTGGGAATTGGCATTTAGTGATGTTTGAGTTGTTAGCCCTAAACCAGAAACCCCGAAAACCTAAACCCTAAGGTTTTGGCATTTAGTCATTTAGTGTTTTTTGGATGTTTGTTGGCTGTCGCAGCTGCATATGATGACTGCCGTTTTCACGGATTTTACAGGAGTTCGGGGTTTGGGTTTTAGTTTCGGGGTTGAGGGGTAGAGTGGCTAGAGTTTAGAGTTCGGGTGTTCTGTCGAAATCCTTCTGTTGAAGGACATTGGTACTTTGGCTGTGTCGATTCTCCTCAAGGTGGCGAACGATTGGGATGCAATGCCATGGAGCCAACCTCAATTCCGCGACAACCCATACCCGAACACCACGCCGTGGATTTATGTATGTTTGCTTTCATTGTACAGAGCTTGAAAAGCTCGGGCTGCCCCGAAGGTCCTAGAGAGTGAAGACTAGCAGGAAGCGTCACCCAGAGGGTGCATACATGCTAGCATTATTGACGGGATTAGATGGGTGGTTGTTAAAATTAGGAGGATCCCTTGTGGGTTCCCTATTATAATACGGCACCTAAAAATAAGGGTACCCAGAAAGGGGCCATAATTTTGACAGCCACCCATATAAGTCCCCAGAACCATATTCGGGATGGTCCTTTGAGACCTAGCTCCCTAATGGTAGTAAATGTGGACCCTCTCGGCCGCTGGGTCAGTTCCACGGCTTAGGATTTAGGGTTCAGGGTTTAGGGTTCAGGGTTTAAGGTTTAGGATTCCAGGGTTCAGGGTTTAGGATTGCATGGTCCACGTCGTAAACACCCTGCTGCTGCGGGTCTTTCAGGGATACCTCGGTTTCACAAAGTAAGGGACACTAGCACCTAGTAGTAGAGTAGGTCACTTTCAACCTTTGTTGGGTAGTATCGTCCCTAATTATGTAATCCCTATATTATAACAAAAAAAGTTAACCTTTAGTTCCCCACATGTTAGAACTCCTACGGACCCAGGGTAGGTCGTCGTACTGGCAGTTCTGGCAACCATATCATGGATTGGCTTCAGGCACGGTACAACTTGCGACGGTTCTGTGTGTGTTTTACCTTAACAGTTTAGGGTTTAGGGGTTTAGGGTTTCCTCGGCTACGCAAGCAAACCTAGATGACGGGAGCGGTTAGATGGGCTAGAGCAGAAGGCCTTTTGGCCACAGCGTGGTTAAGTCTACCCAGACCGTAAGGGCCGATCTATTCAAGCACCTACAGATGCATAGGCTGCAATTAGGGTTTAAGTATGATCCGACATCCCAAATCCTCATCCCAAAAACACACGGGCTTCAAACCCAACATCGAGACGGTCTATCTCAAGCAGTAAGGCTTAATCGGAAAAACCTTGAAGCCGGAAGTGCCACCAGGATGCCGGAAAGCATGCATTTCAGTCTACTTTGACCCTAATAACCTGCACGGCAAATCCCAAGCACTTTAAATTGAAGAACTCCGTTTTGAATCACGGGAAACCAATCAAGACAAGCTAGTTCAGAAAGCCATCAAACCCTGAAGAAACAAAGCAACTCTCCTGTAGGGGTCGGAAATATTTCGTAGCGGTGTCGCCTTCATGATCCCTGCATGTTGATATTCTAACATACCCCAAAGCCCAGGTACACAAAGCTCAACGAGGCCCCTGGACTAATTTCTTGTATATGCAAGCCCTCACAGGAACCCTAGAAGGTGCCCTAAACTGCTTTAGCTCTCTGCTTAAGTAACCCTAGACCCTAAACCCTAAACCCTAGAAGGTGCCCTAAACTGCATTAACTCGCTGCTGATATAAGTGGCTCCGGACGCTAACCCGGTGCAGAGGACCTCGGAGTTGTCCTTTTCTCTTGTCAGCCTGGAAAGAGGAAGGCGGGTTTAGGGTTTAGGGGTTCTACAAGGGGGCCATAAAAAGAAACGGATCCTACAAGCATTTCCTAGGTCCCAGAGTAGGCCCTTATTCCCTGTTTTAGGGCTCAGGTTCCCTTATAGAACCCTTTAAGCCAAACAGGGCACCCTGTTTATTGCTAGGTAAGTCTTTTGTCTCGTATAGGTCTCCCTTTCAGGGTACTATTCTTGAGCTCCCTTATAGAAGCCTTATAGATCCCATTAAGGAAACCTTTAAGGAACTCTTGGGTCTAGTTCCTCTTCCAGACAGACTCTGAGAGTTTGTTTCTGCGCGGAAGTCTGGCTTTTATGTCTCTCACTATCATGGTTTAGGGTTCAGGGTTGAGGGTTCATTCCTGGGGGCTCCAACTAGCCCAAAGTCTAGGACCCAGAGTAGGCCCTTATTCCCTTTTTTAGGGTTCAGGTTCCCTTATAAGCCCCTTTAAACCAAAAAGGGCATCCTTTTTGTTCCCTAGGTTACTCTTAGGTCCCTAAACCCTAAACCCCTATAGATCCCTTAAAGGAACCCTTATAGTACCCTTTAAAGGACCCCTAAACCCCAGAGTGGGTATTAATTATGGACTTTAGCCCCAAAGTAGGTTGCCTACTTGGGGCCCCAGGGTCAGGGTTTAGGGTTTAGGGTTTAGGGTTTAGGGTTTCGGGTTTAGGGTTTAGGGTTTAGGGTTTAGGGTTTCGGTTTAGGGTTTAGGGTTTAGGGTTTAGGGGCTCATTGGGTATAGGGTTTCGGGGTTTGCTGTTGAGGAGCCCGGGGATTAGGGTTTAAGGCTGTTAGGGCTTCCGTGCACAAGTTGGGTTAGGACCATTAGGATTCGTGGTTCAGTTTTAAAGGCTTGGGTTGGGAATTCCGTGCGCAACTTAGGGTTTAGGGTTTAGGATTTGCAAGTAAATTACATAAGCTGTCGCTGCTTTGGCTTCGCGCTTGCTTGAGAGGAAGGCTGCTTGCAGTTCCTGCGAACAGGTTCATGCTGCTTGCAGACCTCTGCCTCTGCTCCTGGAGCGCATTTTATCAGGTGTTTCCTAAGTGGAAGTCCTGCAAGCTTGCCAGAGGAGCCAGAACTAAGCTAGAGGAGCAGCTCACACAAAGAGCACCTAGAGTTGCCACTGATTGTGGCTGTTGGCAACAGGTTGACAGGCGTCGCTAGCACTCAGGTCATCGGGCGACAAGCAGTCAGTAAATTTAGGGGAGGCGGCGACAGGAATCTATTTACAAGATTTTAGATGGTTTACTCGAAGACTCCAAGTACACAAGCAATGCCTACTGTTGGGGTCACTCTACACAACTGTAGCTCAGGGCCCATGGCCTCTTCATCAATTAATAAAGTCACCTGGAGCCACAAATAGAGACTAAACCTCTTCGTGGAAAGACTCTGGCGCTCTGTCGGCTGAAATGCTTTTGCAGGCCCGAGGGGGCCATTTCTTTTTTCAAAGCTCTTTGGTAGGGACTCATAGAACTCCGCAGGGTCAAAGGGATTGCAAGTGGCTTCACATGTGCATTCTTGATTTCTTGCATTGCCGTCTCCTGGTAAGTTAAGACCTGTGGGTTGGTTTAGACTGTAGTTGTATCTGCTGCCGAGAAGGCGTGTGGTCCTTGTTGTGGTTTTGGGGGGTCGTAACGCCACTGGTTAGAATTATGATTCCGGCTGTAGGGTCAAGAGTTCTTCTGCGGCCTGAACTACCCAGTCAGGT